GCAGACGTGGGGCCCCCACCAGTCGCCGGTGAGGTTCTTGGGGTCGGAGGTTATGGAGTGTTTGAGGGCTTGGAGGGCTATGTAGGCCTTATCTAGCCTCGGGTTTAGTGGGGGGAGATCATATGCGAGCTGAGAGAGGGACAGGGGGAGCAAGAGGAGCAAGCTGCAAAGGGGTAGGGAGAGGCTTGGGGTTGTCATTGGGATCGAGGGAGAGCAATTATCATGAGGAGGCGTTTGATTGGTTGGATTTATATAAGCAAGTGTTTAGGAGGTTGATTACGTTAGGGGTGAGGGGTTAGGTTATTGGTGTGTGACTGATTATATTAATTTGAATGAGTATATAAATAGGTGTATATTAATTTGGGTGGTGATAGGGATCTTTAAGTTGACTAGGTATATTTTCCTCGTGATGTTTTTTTTTTCTTCTGTACTTTGTCGAGGATCAGAATAGAAGAGTAGGACAAAAGTGAGATGGGCGATGAAGGGATTTTGGTGGTGATCATTTATTGATTATGATGGCTTAGCAAAAGAAAAATGGGATGGTGAGCTGCTGATGATAATCTCACTCGTGGGGTACTGACAATGAACCTTTGTGTGCGATATGAGGTGTCTTAGAATGCTTAATCACTATTACACAATCGCAACGCCACCTCTGCAGGTTCAGCCAGGCTCAGGTTGAACGTTGTTTTTATTTGATCAAAACCGGATGCCCTTAGCGGGGGTTGCTCTGATAGAATCTTAAGATTCATAACCATTGTATCAAAAATCCGAAGTTGTGAGCTGAAAGGTTAAGGGTTATATTTCTATATTCTAACAATATGCTTTGAAGTTTTTCTATTAGAGACACATTTGTTTGGGTCAAAAGTTGATATTTTCATTGGTGACGAACTCATTACAATTTCAGCCATTACAATAAGTTCAAAAAAGAAAGAAAGTCGATCTTTTTATAAGATCTCCTTTACACAATGAAAATAAAGATTACAACTCTTGTATAAGATCTCCTTTACACAATGAAAATAAAGATTACAACTCTTGTCAAACAGCGCAACAGACGTTTATTACCCGCTGCTTGCGTGGGATCTTTACCTGTGCCGGGGATGTTAATATCCGTGGACCGCCGTGGATCAGATCCGGTTAGCAGAAGTTGGATAATCAATGCTCTCACTTCACAAAGGAAGTAATTGCAGTAGCGGTGATTTTGACTAAGCAAAATCACGGCTCTTCTCGGGATTTAAGACCAAGCTTAAATCCGGAGGAATAGGGGACGGGTCTCAGATCACTCGAACTCCACTCTTTATGCGCAGGAGATCGCCAAGATCTGCTAACCCTTGCTGTAAATTCGTGGCTCCACTCTCCAATTCGGCAGCACTTCGTCCTATTGATCTCCTCCCCTCCCAAAAAATGAACACCCGAGCCCCTATTTATAGGCTTGGTTGGCGGTTTTCTTGGATCAAAACGAGGGATTCCCTCTATCTTCAGTTAGCAACTGTCTAACAACAATATCAGAGCAGTTGGAACCCTAAATCCCGAAAGAATCCATAAAAGAACCGAAAAAACCGAATTTTGGCCGAACAGTCACCCGTGGCTCGGCCCTGGCCGGGCCACCAAATGGTGGCTCGGCCTTGGCCGAGCCACCATTTGGTGGTTCGGCCGCCGAGTCACCTTCTGGTGATCTGGCTTTGGGCCGAACTGGCTTGCAACTGTGCGGGCCACCAAATGGTGGCTCGGCCTTGGCCGAGCCACTGGTCTGACCGGGTCGCTTTGGCGCGACTCGGCCGCCAGGGGCTTTATCTGTTTTCCGGGTTTTGACTTGTTCCATCATTACGCGTATTTCGTCATTTCGTTGATCTGTACGCTGTTTTGGTGGCCCATGAGCGTGCAGGCCACTTGGTTTGCCGATTTGGTGGCTGGTGAGTACACGGGTCACTTGGAGGTAGCCGATTAGCACGCAGGCCACTTGGTTCGCCGATTTGGTGGCTGGTGAGTACACGGGCCACTTGGAGGTGGCCGATTAGCACGCAGGGAGTACACGGGCCACTTGGAGGTGGCCGATTAGCACGTAGGCCACTTGGTTCGCCGATTTGGTGGCTGGTGAGTACACGGGCCACTTGGAGGTGGCCGGTGAGTGTATAGGCTATTCGGTTCGCCGTTTCGCTTCATGTGTTCATCGGCGTCGGATAATCCTCTTAGACTTAGATAGTGGCGTTCATCACCTTCTCTCTGCCTCAAGCTGTGCGTGGATACCTATAGGCATTTTTAGACGCCTACAGCATTGAGCCGAGAATGACTATGATCTATCTTTTTAATTCGTACTCTTTTCAGTGGAAAGATGAGATATGATAATTTAAAATAAGCTTGTCTATATAAGTTTTATTTACATAAAAAAAATATTGAGTAGTAGAAGCAATATATACCCTCACTAAGGGTGGTAAGATTGCATACATCTATTTAAACATTCATGTTTTGAGCTGCATTCCTTTTTGCAAATTGCACATGAAACTAATGCAGTCGATTATAAAATGTAATCATAATATAAAAGCACATATATAGCTTTTTCCCCCCATATTAAAGATAGCATATATTCATAATAAATGCTCTGATTTTTTATTCGTATGTGTGGAATGTATAGTTCGTTTACACTTTCTTATTATCCGTTTGAATGTATATCTTGCTAACAAAATAAACAATTAGTTTAACTGAAAATAAATGAGTTATGAAAAATCAGGCCTGAACGGGG